AAAAAGATGGGAGGTTAACATCTGCAGTTTCAAATAAAAATGTTTGATTATAAAAGTAAGGTAGGAATGCCAATTGCCAAAAGTAAGACTCTGGAGCCCCATAATTATAAAGACAAGGCTCTCAAATTTTGAGGCTATGCAACAAATGGCCAAGCAAGACCGATTTTCAAACAGGTAAAGTTGATCTATTCCTAGTAAGAGCAAACAGAAGCTTCAAAATATGCAGTAAAAGGGCAAGAAATTTTCAAAAAAGAAGGCTTGCATTTACTCGAATTGTTTATGTCGAACAAATTTTAAAAGTAAAAGATAAAGCAGTTTGGTCTCTCTCGACTGCAAGATAACACGCTAACATTTGCCATACTCATTGAGCCATGATAATTCTATAATCAATAGCACAACAGCCTCCAAAAAAGGATAAAGAAATATAAAGCATCCACCGCGTTATTTGAATACTGTCCCTTAAGCTTTCATGCTCGAGGAACCGAAGGGCACCAATTTTATCATAAGATGGTTCTTACTATAAACCTTACGTTTTAGAATATACCAAGTCCAAAGTCTGATGCTGGGAATTATGGCAGAGAACTTCGGACAAGATGCATTCTACTAAGTTCCCCTGACGACAAGGCCAAGTTGCGAAAACGAGTTCAACTCACTGCTTAAATTTGCTAGTCCATTTACATCATGATTAGAAGCTCACCGCACGAAATAAGAGTATAAAAATTGTCAATGTATTTGGCATCAAACTTAAGTAATCTTAAAAAAGCCCCGTATTAAAAAACTGAAAAATGTAAGACGTAAAATATAAGGTGATTATAGGATAGTCTCAACGATTAGTCATCGGAAGAATGCAGTGTTTTAACTTATTAAAGGAAGCCCCATCCACGTTGTGCTAAGTCCATTAAATGCTTACTTGAAGAGCTTTCCTGAAGTGAGCAGCAACGAACAGGCATACAATGGGCTTGCAAGCCGAGAATATGACGTCGAGAAGCTGATTGATCAAAGAAAATACGGCTGGATCATGAGCCACGTAGTCCTCAGTGGCAAGGACATGCAGTACAAACTTAGGCACTTTGAGGCCAAGCAGTAAAAGACCTATGCAGACGGCACAGACAACATTTGCGTTCTCGCGCGTCTCGTCTAATGCCGAAAGTGGCCGATCCAGGCAGACAGCAATGTGCCGCCCAGTAGGTGTCAACTGTACTTGGGCATAGTTGGCCAGACAAGTTTGAAATGGTATCGGTTGTAACGGCTGATTTGACATATGACCATTTTCAGATTCAAGTAATAGGGGCGCCTTTGATTCAGCGACCTAGAAGTATTTAAAATGTGGATAAGTCAATGTAGATGAACTGGAGCGCAAATAAACGAGTCAAATTAAATTTGAAAATGAGTGCAAGGATTAGGCGGGGAATTCTGATGGGCTAGAAGTATCGTTGGGAAATGAAAGAAAATAATTACAAAAATAATACGCAAATGTAAATAGAAGAAAGAAAATGTAAACTAGGAATAAAAACAAACAAAGTACTTATGATTAATAGTTATAATGATTAATTACGAACATGTCTATGTGTATGCATATCCAATAAAGTTGTCCTGTGAATTTTAGGTAATAGTTTTACTTTTAGGCATAAGATAAAGTAGGATCTAGACAAATATCAAAAGCGAATTTCGGTCTAAGAGAGATAGCAACTTTTTATGATAGCATTTGACGAATGTGAGAATTAAGTGCGGCCCTAATTTTAGTCTATTGATGAGGCAGTTCAAGAATCAAATTATCACGAAAATATAACTTTTTTCGTGAAGTAATGCAGACAAGCAGCGGTTAAACCACACAAAAGGGATGCAGGACGAAACCAACCAGTTTAGCTATAGATCATACTATGAAAATTCTGGCCCTTTTATGAGTGGCTAGAACTGGTTGCAAAGAAGCTTCGAAACTGACTTTATAGCCACTAAAGACAAGTGTATTGGGATGAATTAACATTCGTCAGAAAAGACTAGCAGATGGTCTTTGAGAGCCAACATGGGAAAGTGTAAGCATCATCTGAGAATTTGTAGGAACATTTACACGCCACACTACGGACCTCAATTAATCACGATTGACTAGCAAGGAATACTTAGCAATTAAGAGGAGCTTTATGAACCAAATCGCAGGCAAAGCTAAGTTCTAAAGAACTCTTATCTAAGATTTACCGATAAGCTCAAAGCCTACTTTTCCCCGTTATAGGTAATGTGATAGATTGTAATAGTAAAATACAATTTTTTATAAAAACTGTGAATCGAAGAATTCCTAAATAGAAGTACAGACGCAGATCAAAGACAACCCCTCTTCAGTTTCAGGTGAGGCCAACTTACAAATCCCATCCACTCGCCTCTTAAAACCATTTGAACGAATTCAACATTAAAATACAATTTAAATCGAAGGTATGAAGACCAAGATGGTGTGGACTTTTGTGTGGTCGCAGTCTTCTTTCGTTGTATAGAAATTGTTTGACTTTGTTTTCGCAACTCGGTCATATTGGTAGGAAGACTTAGAGGAACACACCTTGTCCGGAGTCCATTGTATGCATAATCATTTCTAAAGTCGGACCGTGGATGTGGTATATTCCCAGACCTTTCGCCGGCATCGTCAGTGAGTTTTACCATTCGTAGCACTATATTACAACTCGTCAAA